TAAAAATATATGAAGGAACAGTAAGTGGGTCAAGATGCCAGAGAATATTGAGAAAGTTGTGGTTGGATGGAACTCACAAAATCCTCAAAAAAGACAGTTAAGAAGCTTCAAATACAAAACATGAGATGAGATATTGATTTGTTAGAAACTAAGTGCTTTACAAAGATAAAAAGGCATGATAAAATTTACTATTTAGCTATGTTTTCTTCTTATCATATCTTTTACTTTGTTTCACTATTATTTGTTCTCTGCATAACATATCTTACACTGAAAGGGAAGACATTATGGCGATTTTAGAAAATAACAGATTTTTTAAGTTTCACTTCACAAAAAAAAAGGGAAAGAAGATAAAGTAATAGATTAGAAAAAAATTGAAGAAAAAGAAAATTAATCAAGAGAGATTGTAATTGCATTGTATCAAAATCTCACATTCTATGAGAGATCCAGAAATAAAAGCTAAGGTCCTTATGGATATCATCTAGAAATCATTGTTTTTAAATAGACCCAAAAATGTATTTTTGAAAGCACCCTTGTTTATGAAGAAGTTCAACCTGTAAATAATAGATACAAAATTCCAAACATTTTGTTTAAACATTTTATAATATTGAACATTTGGTGTATTAGATAAGATTGCAAGAGAAGTCATATTTCCAGGGAATAAGTTTATATATCATATTAAACTTCAAACTATGAGTTAGACCTTACCACTCCTGGGCTAGTGTGATATATGAAGCCAGTCAAAGACCTCAAACAACGTAATCATTTTAGTTCAAGGAAAGAAAACATTAAGTGCACTCTGATCAGTGAATAAAACTTTAAATCAAGGACTATAATATTTGAAATATTTCTGCTGCCTTCCACATTGGAGAAGAGAAAAGATGTATATTTCACAGCTGGCTATTTTTTCCACTGACCTAGTATACCAGTTATTTATATTGGGAAGCTGGTATATAACACAATGCATAATTGTGTTAACTCTAGGGCTTGGAGTTAATTCAATTATGCATGAATATATCCAGACAAAATCAATCAGTCAACTTCCTTCTCCTTGCTCTTCTTCATTCCTTCATTCTTTCCAAACGTATGTGCTTCTTATCAGAAGGCCACGCAGACAAGATGGAAGCCACTAAATCAAGAAACTTGAGGATTTGGAGGTTCTAGCCAGGGAAGTGGGAGACTTTAAGCATTATAGATGAAAAATTGCCTAACACTCATTGTCTTTCTGGCCTGCAACATATTCTAGTTTACATGATTATTCAGTTTGTGTTGGATGCTTTCTGAGAATGTACTAACTGGGTTTTTTACTTTTATGCTAACATGGAAATGCCTACTCTGGAAAAAAAGTCTACATAGGCTTAAGACAGGATCACATTTAACTGATTATGTATCTAATGAATTAGCTTTGAACTTACCATCTTTTTATAAAATATATGCATCACTATTACAAGGATTTACACCTAAACAATGTAGAAAATGTTTCATAAATAAAAATATGATGAGTAGCTGTAAAATTAGGGCAGGTTTTTTTTCACCAGCCATGCAAACAAGCATTTGCTTTTAGTGCCATCTCCTGGCTCTGGCAGGAAGTGAAATTTTTAAAAATACTTTTATAAAGTACATATACATGTACACACATACACACATTTTACTTAAAATGTGTGTAATACTTAAAATGTGTGTATATTTTTAATACTTTTAAAAATAAGTAAAAATTACTTATTTTTAAAAGTAAAAAAAATAAGAAAAATTACATACTTTTCCAGAAGTAAAAGGTAAACATGAAATTATATGGAGTGAAATTAAGAAAAAAAGAGAAAATAATAAATAGAGGAAACAATGCAGGTAGAAAAAAAAGTGATGGAAAGAAAAATTACCTTATATATAAAGTGACTTCAGATCTTCTTTGCAGAAGTTACAAACAAATTCATTATCATTCCTTCTTTTTTAAAGTTACAGTATGATGCTCTTCTTCCCATATTCAACCTTTTAAATCAAAACATCCATAAACCACAAATTGATCTTTTCCCATTTTTAGCAAAAAGTCCACTAGAATTTTCCAGTCTTTTATAAAAGTATTTGCTATCTGATCCTGATTAAACAGGTCTATGTTACCAGTTCCACACGTTCTGCCATCTTCACAATCTATTCCTCTATTGTGGGTTTTTCAATATCTTCCCATCTTTGTGCATATAACAGTCTTGCTAGCATCTAGCAATTTTGGTTAATCTCAGAAATTAAGCAAAATTGGGCTTGGTTACTAAGAGAAACTCCTAGAAACTGGTAAACCATTTCTGCAATGTTATCATGAAAACTGCATGGATGAATGACTTCAGGAATGAAACTCAGTTTAAGGTTATCTTTATCTTTCTATGTTTGACTAATGAATTTCATTAGTGTATGCCAGGTTAACAATAGAAAAGTTTAGGGTACAGAATACAAATTCTAAGAATTTTAGTCCAACACATTTGGAGAATATCAAATTGGAAAAGGCTGTGCTTTAAGGCAAGACCTTAAAGATGCAAATAGTCCAATAAGCCCATGGATAGAGGAACATACATTAAATAATTGTTTTATATTAAATAGAAAAATAAAGAAATATTAGGGTACTCAAAATGTTCCCCTTTTGGTCCATCTAAATAGGGCTCCTGTGCCCCTTTTATCCACTGGGAGAAAGTTCTCAGCCTCATTCACATTAGACAGTGTTTAGGGTACTTCCATAAAGCCATTAGCATCAGGACTCTTATCTTTTTCTGCAGGTTTGTACTACAGATAGTCCTCGACTTACCACCCCAACTGAGCCCAAAATTTCTGTTGCTAAATGAGACAGTTATTAAATGAGTCAACATTTAATGCCTCATTTTGACAACCTTTGTTATTACTCAACCAATCACCTCCATTACATTATTCCTCATTGGAGCCCCAAGCCAACTAGCAGAGCCACATCTTTAGGCCCTTACAAAAAGATAGGAGGGTTGGGGTCAACCTCACATTGGGGGGCAAGGTTTTCCAGAAGGCAGGAGCAACAGCAGAAAAGGCCCTCCTCCTGGACCCCACCAGCTGAAATAATCGAGCTGATGGAATCCATAGCAGGGCTCCTCTGCCAGCAAAGATTGATACAGGCCAACCCCAGTGGGATGAGACAGTCCATCAAGTAGCCTGGGCCCATGCCATGAAGAGCTTTAAAGGTGATTACGAACACCTTGAATTGCACCCGGAAGCATACTGGTAACCAATGCCACTTGTGGAGCAGGGGTGTTATAGGGGCCATTCTTGAGGGGGGGGGGGCAAATTACCCATGCTGCCGCACGCTGCACTAGCTATATAATTATTGCATAGCCTTGGAAAAAGTAATAATGGATAATGGATAACTAACTATATAGTGCATAATAAAGAATCTTATTCATAATATGGTGCAACAGAATTCCTTACTTAGATGGAAGTGTGCCTAGACATTTTGTTAAGACACCTTTAAAAGTGATGAATCAAAATGATTCAATGCCTTGGCCATCATTTACTGCTGACTTAAAGAACACTTTAAAAAATCATTGCTAGGATTTGGATGCCTCTACCACATTTATGTGGGCCAGCTCGTCTTATAGAATGGGCATTATAGCATGATTTTCTTCTTAGCCAGAAGCATATTGAGTATTTCCAGTGGTAACTTGCAGTTGTTTGAAAAGAATGGACTTGGCAAAAGTTTGTCTAGATGAAAAATAGCTATGTATTTTTTTGTGGCTAATAGTCAAGGATTGTTAAGAGTTGGTTTGCTATCTAGATGGAATCATTCATATCTGGATGTTGTGATTTGAGGGAATTCCTACCTATTCCCATTTCATTGGTATGTTCTAAGAGCTGGCTAGGCTCACTGTTATATGAGGATTTATGGCACTAGCACACTGGTATCTTTGTATTCTCTCATTCAAAACTGAATTACCTCATGACAGAATATTTAACTCTGCTGCCCTCTCTTTGTGCTCATATTTCAGCACAGCACATGAAAGAAATGGAGAATTGGCTTAAACTCCACTTCAGCTGTTTGAGAGTTATGGCCCAGTTTGCTTTTCATTCTGTCAAGTCATTTCAATAACCTGTGAAGGCAATGGAGCCGAGCAGAAAAACCATTTAGGGGAGATATCTCTCTTGTGAAATCAGATGACTGACATACTTGCTTGACATAAACGACTTCTGCTTTGGCTTGCTGCAAAATGTCTTCCCCACTATCCCAAGTGTTCATGCAGACATTAAACCAAGTAAATAGAATTCCTGCAATTTTTGTTCTGAAGAAAATAACCAGTGATTTTTTTGCTATTTTGAATAAAGCCCTGTACTATTAAATTTCAAAGATGTATGTGAATGTATACACATTTTAACCAAATTAATATCTTTTTCAGGGCCAGAAAAAGAACTTTCTGTGATAAGATAATGGAAATACCTTATATTTTAATATATTTGAACCATTTTACATTTAATTCAGGAATTCAGGGTCAGCTAGGAAATGTGAGGTAAAACAACTAAATAGAGCTGAAGCCCAAATTAGGAATATAAATTATTTTTGATCCACCCTAATTCCATTCTGTCAAATCACCACTTACTAAAATGACAATATAATAATGCAAGTGAAATATTCTAGGCCCCGATGTGACTATTATAAAGCAAAAGTGTCAAATACACGGCCCCTGGGCCGGATCTGGACCACAATAGGCCATGAAGTTGGCCACCAGGACGTTCTGGAAATAGCGAGGGACCGGCCCCTGCCACCCTGGGTCCAGCCATGGCCACCTACTCAGCCAGGAAGACCAGGCCATGCCCGCACACCCCCCAAGGGCAAACAAAATCCTGATGTGTCCTGCATCAGGATCAAGTTTGACACCCCTATTATAAAGAAATATTCCTTAATCCAGGAAAAAAAGACATTTTTGACAACAGCTTTGATTGGAATTCCCCTTCTTTTTTTGGCATTCAAAATTTTGTTAATATAAAAATACGAAAGAAAACAATAGGAAACTTACACTTAGACTAACTTTATTGTCACTTTGAATGTATACTAATCAGCATATATTAAAATGAAATTTTGTTGCATACAGCTCTCAAAGGATCTCCACCTCTAATGTTGTTGTTGTTAGTTATGAAGTTGTGTCCAATCCATCACAACCCCATGGACAACGTTTCTCCAGGCCTTCCTGTCCTCTACCATCCTCTGGAGTCCATTTAAGCTCACACTGACCTCTTCAGTGACTCCATCCAGCACTACATAAACATAAACAAACAAACAAACAAACAAATAAATAAACACAAAATTATGCATATACCCACATAATGAGGGAGAATGAGGGAAGAAAAAAGGAAAGGGAAAAGTGTAGGAGAAAGGAGAAAAAGAAAGAAAAAGTGTTGACTTCTGACACTTTTGGTGCAGTACAATAAGATAATAGTATCAAACCAACTTTTTACTTTTATATAATAATACAAACTAACTATTTATATAACAACAAACCTATCTAATTGGTAAAACCCAAAATCAAAGTTTCATTTTTTCCACCTCAAGCATAAAGTCCAAAAGTGGTTTCTAAAGTTAATTGTGTTCAGAGCAGTCAATTTGGACATGTCTGCTAACTTCGTCATCCTAAAATTCCTAGGATTTCATTTTGTGAAGATCTTCTCAGCTTTTTCAGAACCAGAGATAAAACACCGGTGTTTTGTACAGTTGCCTTAAATGGAATAACACTTTTGTTTAACTTCAGAAGCCAGTACTGATGCATAACCGGTGTAAACAGAATGCACATTTATTGGATAGCACCCTTGATAAATGATAATGTTCTTCCCTAATTCAGAAGCAATCCTTGAAAGCTAAAACAATTTCTTTTTTTGTTGTAGTGAAACATTGTTATATTATAGCTATTCCCAGAATCATCATTTTACCTTACAAACATAACAAGTACAGTACTGTCTGGTTTCTACATAATGTTTTTAAATAAATATCTTGAGTCTTTAGATTTTAGTGGCTTCTGCATGCTACTGCAGGTAGTTCTTGACTTACGACTGTTTGTTTAATGGCAATTTAAAGTTATGATGGTCTTGGTCTTATGACCATTGCACCATCCCATGGTCATGTGATCTTCATTTGGGTTCATTTAACAATCATATAATTTGCTTAATGACATGATTTTGTTTAACCACACAGAAAAAATGGTCATAAAATTGGGTATAATGATATGATGACAATCATTATTGTGATTGCCTGATTTATGACTGAAAAATCCAGTTCCAGTTTTAAGTTTAGGACTACCTTTATTACAGCAAATAACATTATTGCCAGGCGCAAAAAAATCAGGACCATATAGTAAATTCTAGTTAACAAGATTTATTGTTCAAACCTATACGCAATAATCTAGTCAACTAATGGTCAGCACTAAATTGGTGCTAGAATTCTAGGGGTGGTGGTGGACTTGGAGCATTTGTGGACATGTAATCTTTTGTCTTTGCCCCCAGGCTCTCTCTTGAATTTTTTGTCCTGGGTTCCTGTAGGAATATGGATTTGACAGGTTACTAGTGGTGCCTCTTATAATTTCAATATTGGTCCTAGTTTGTGGCCAATACTGTAAGAGAGGCCCAATATTGACCATCTTATGGTCTCCATGTACTGGGTTTCCCCAAAAATACAACCTACTCAGAAAGTAAGTCCTAGCTTGATTTTTACATGTGCACCCAATATAAGCCCTACCCCAAAATAAGCCCTAATTAAGACTCCACCCACTCCTGGGTGCACAGGTAAAAATTAAACTAGGGTGGGGATGGTGTGTGTGTGTGTGTGTTGAGCTGCCCTATTACTTACCTTCAGATAGTTGCAGCCAGGTCTTGCACATCTCAGCCCATTTGTTCTGCAGCCAGCAAGGCTTTACTGAAGGCCTCTGTAGATCAATCCGGAGCTCTGTTATTGGCTACAGAGGCCTTCAGGAAAGCCATGCTGGCCTTGCTAGATGAAGAAGTTCCTGAAGGCCTCTGATAGTGAAAAAGAGGCCAGGGGCAATGCGCACAAGTGAGGGGAGTCAGTGGACATCCCCCCCAAAATAAGACCTGATATCTTTTTTTTGGGTAAAAAAAATATAAGACAGGATCTTATTTTCAGGAAACATAAATACCACAATATAACTAGGATGGTATCTGATTTTACACCATCTGTAAATCGGTGGCCTATATAGAATGTGTTATCTAATCCAAGTTTGGATTACAGATAAAGCATTATGAAATGAGATAAGTTGAAGTAAGAGCCTGTAGTACAGTGGATCAAAGTACACTGTTATTAACATCTGCTGCTTGCAATTACTGCAAGTTCAAATCTCACCAGGCTCAAGGTTGACTCAGCCTTCCATCCTTTCAAAGGTAGGTGAAATGAGGACCCAGATTGTGGGGGCAATAAGCTGACTTTATATAAATATACAAAAGTATGAAGGCTATTGCTTAATGCATTGTAAACTGCCCTGAGTCTCCGGAGAAGGGCGGCATATAAATTAAAAGCAAAAAAAAAAAAAAAAAGTTGTCAGGCAACAATTAATTATAATAGAGTAGGCATGAAATTCACACAATCTTAGTCTTCCCATGATAATGGGATGGATTTTATTTTTATTTATATTACCCTGTTTTCCCCAAAATAAGACATCTCTTGATAATAAGCCCAGTTGGGCTTTTGAGTGCATGGCAATAAGGCCAAGCAATTATTTCAGGGTTCAAAAAAAAATAAAATAAGACAGGGTCTTATTTTCGGGGAAACACAGTATTTATTTCTAAATGTATTTATTCATAACTATACAAATAAAATAGGCACATTTAATGCAAAACTGATGAAATTTCTATTTGCTTTTCTGATGACATTATTTCTCTTTTGTGATAACTAACAACTATCTTAAATGCCATCAAGTTTCAAAAATATCCAAATTATTGTGCCTTTTTCATAAATGACAAATATTTGTATGCCTTAAGCAAATCTAAATTTCTTGAAAAAAATTCTCAGTCTTAAAAGCATATTTTCAGGTTGCATCATTAGATTTTTTTTTTAGAACAGTCTGCTTTTTTTGTAAGCAGATTTTGTTCTTCTGCTCATGCTGTTTGTCACGTTTGTGTTAAGGTGAAAAAGTCAGCTAACAAAACATTAATGCTTTTGAGGTTTGGCTTTGTGACTTGTTTGCCTTTGAGCTGAAGGAACATTGTTCAGATTTTCCTTGCATATTCATTTTTGTCACTAAATAGATTCATTTTGGCTATGCTTGTGTCCCTTTTCATGTTCCCTTTCTTTGAACATTTTGCGTTATTGAATTTCATTGGCAAATATTCATGGAAATGAATTTCAAAGCTAAAGACATGAGCATGCTTATTATTGTTTCCAATAGTACCCACCCTGCCTTAGATGCTTACAGTATAAACATGAAGGTCACTTTTATATCCATGTGGACAAGACGTTAATAAATTGTATGAATTTCTTTGGTCACTGGTGATAAACTTCTTAAGAGTAAATCTATATTTCATCACATTAAAGAAAAAATATATTTCAACCATATAGGTAACACAATTAAAAATTTGCTTATGGTTCAATCAGACATCCACAAAAAAACCTCCACTACATTCACAACACATACAGTTAACTAGCAGTGGCTCCAATAAAAATAATGCCTGAAAAACTACTTTGGTTTTATTTTAATTAATTGATTGATTGATTGATTGACTGATTATAGGCCATCACATCATTATTGATTCTTAGCAACTATACAGATAGATTTTCAGCATTACAATCTGTCCCTCACCTGGTATTTCAGGTCTTTTCAATGGTGCATTCATTACCCCTATAACTGAGTCCATCCATCTTGCTGCTGATTGTCCTCTTCTTCTCTTTTCTTCCAGCTTTCTGAGCATTAGAGCTTTCTCCAAGTTAAGTCCTTGCATAACATGTCCACAGTAGAATAATTTAAACCTCATCATTTGTGCCTCGAGTGAAAACTCTGGATTGATTTGTTTGATGATACATTGGGTGGCTTTCTTGGCTATCCAAGGCATGCTCAAGAGTCTTCTCCAACACTAAAAGTTTAGAAATGTCAGTACCTTTCCTATCCTGTTTCTTTAAAGTCCATTTTTGCTTTTTCAAAGTCCATTTTGCCTTTATTATAGCTGCAAATTCAGAACCATTGATAACATGTTAAAAAAATTCTGGCAAATCCTGTAGCAGCAAAAATTCATGCATTTAGGTTACTACAAAAGGAAGGAGAACGAGAAGATTTAAAAAAACAAACAAAACCCATGTACTGTACCATTTGCTGGGTTTTGTCCTGCCCCAAACTGATACCATATTATTTTAATTTCCCCTCTGGGAACAATTAAAATGTCCCCTTTGGGACAATTAAAATGGAAGAGTTGGTAAGCCTAATGAGAAAAAGCGCCCTCCAACGGCAAAGAGCTTACAGAGCTTGCAGCATTTTCAACTGAAGGCAGTTTCAGACTGTTTTGAACTATGTTTGAAGTGGAAGTAAATCAATTTATTTGACAAAAAGAGACATATAACATGGGGTCACAGATATGGAGTCAGTCATGGAGCAATATCAACATTATAGACCAGGGGTGTCAAACTCACATCGTCATGGCGGCGTCATGTGATGTATAAAGACTTTTTTCCCTTTTGCTAAACCGGGCGTGGGTCTGGCCACTGCATGACGCATCTGGCCTGTGGGTCAGGAGTTTGTCAGCCCTGTTATAGACTAATTAATCTTCTCTGCAATGTCTGATGAAGATTTTAGTGTACCTTGGAAACCTGCATATTAATTAAGAATGCAGTAATGATTAATAGAGCAATCTAGTTTTATTTTAAGAGATCAGTCTCAAAAAAAAAAAAAAAAGCAAGTTCAGCATATTACAGCATTCTACTCTGTTCCTATTTCACAGACTTCAAACTTTCAGGCTGAGTGTCCCAGAAATTACAATTAGGACAGCACTATAATCCTGAATTAGTTATTTTATCATTCTTAATTCAATGTAATTGAAGTATCAAGAGAATGTCATTGTTGCAGGATTGAAAAGGCTTGAGTCTTTCCTGTCCAGAGCCAACCCCTTGAAGCAGACTTTCCTTGGCAACCTTAAGACGCATGGACTTCAATTTCCAGAATTCCCCAGCCAGCATGGTTGGCTGGGGAAATCTGGGAGTTGAAGTCCATGTGTCTTAAAGTTGCCAAGATTGGGAAACCATGCCTGTAAGTGAGTGATGGCCATTGCTGTTTCCCCAATGACTAGAAAAAGGAATTGTTCTATGCGGCATATCCTTCTGGTTAATATCTTTTTAAATCTGATTTTCCAAAACTGAGAAACCTAGTGGGATATAATAAACCAATGAATGCCATGGGAAACTTTTAACTTTATTAAAAAATTGTTTGCTTGCAGCCTAAGTATGTAGTGATATTTAGGGAATCAGGCAGTACTAAATTTTTCAGACAGTACATATTTGAAAATATTAATCCAATTCAGAATGAAAAATATATATGATACTCAGAGCAGATAGCTTGTCTTTCAAATTTCTCATTGCTTCTGACTCTCCCTCTACTCCTGCATTTTCATGAGAAAGTCTATATAGAAATATCCCAAAAGAACATTTAAATGGGAAAATACCAGAGGAATCATTTGCATCAGTGTAACCTCTAGGGCATGCTCTCTGTGTTGTTTTCATTCTTAAAATCAATAAACACTTTAGGGATGAGAAGAAGAAGAAAGACACCATACAGTAGTACACACAGTGTGTGGTTCAGGCACTTTAAGCCAAGAGAGAGAGAACCTGCAAAAAAGCACAGTGAACAAGAGAGTTATGTGTGTGGCCATGTGATTCAAAATGGAAGACATGTGTCACACTACAGATCTGTGTGACTTGGCAAGCATGCGCTAGACAGGAGCTGTGGGCCTTCTGGGTTTTCCACCACCCTTCATATTCTTGGCTGTCATCTTAATCCACTTTAAAACCCACCCTTTCCAGTGATTTGATTCCTCCATTTCCCCTCCCCCTGCCTCTTTCTCTTCCAGAGCAGCCAGAAAGCAGCATCTGGAGCAACTGCAAGCCGTTCAGATGCAGAACTGCGGCACAAGACGCTCAGGAGAAACCTTGGCTCCTCTTGCTTCATATGGGTGGCCAAGAATGTGTCCAATATGTATCGTCTTTGCTAGCCCACACAAGGCTCCATGATGGATCTCTTCTGGAACTTGGATATTAACATATTCCTCTGCGCTGGCATTTAATTATGATGAGAAAGTGTTATACTCTGTGTGATGTCTGAACAGTGGCCCGAAACCATAACGTATATAAAGAGTTTCTATAGAAGATTAACTGTGTGTAGGCGTGAGTGCGTGCACTGTGGCTTTCTTATGAAAAAAACCTGTCTTGAGTAAATCTTCTTCTGCTTCTTTGGCAGAACTTCCTATTTTAGCAGCCTGTCTCTACCACTTATCATATTTATTATAAAGGGGACTCGGGTTTTCTTTCTTTCTAAACAAGCTTCACTAATATTCATAACTGTGAATATTACTATTCCTTGAAGTAAATTAGGAGTTTTCCAATCATTATAGAATTGGTAATGGCTTGCAGTACTCCATTTGCAGCCAAAAAGGAGCCTGTGTTTCGCTTTAGATTATATTCCCTTTTACTGTATGGTAATAGTGAAGCCCACCAGACTTGCAAGGGTGCCACATCAATTGAAAACATATCTTACACACAGCATTATCTCTAAATCTCAAAGAGCCAGATATTATCTGCTCACAGGAACATTCTTTCTTTTTTTCTTTTCTTTCTTTTATTTGATTTCTATACCGCCCTACTCCCGAAGGACTCAGGGCGGTGCACAGCCAAACAATAAAATACATACATACAAAATTTAAAAGTAGAATTAAAATCAAATTAAATAGTTTTGGCCCAGACAAATTAAAACCCCAAACAATTTAAAACCAATTTTAAAATTTGAATATATAAAATACTAAAAGATATTAAAAATTAAAAATCTATTATAAAAGAGGGAGAAAATTAGGCCAAGCCCACCTGGTGAAATAATACGGTCTTTAGAGCGCGGCGGAAGGTGCGCAGATCCGGGATCCTCTGTATCTCCGGGGGGAGCTCGTTCCAGATAGTAGGTGCCCCCACAGAGAAGGCTCTCCCCCTGGGGGCCGCCAGTCGACATTGTTTGGCCGACGGCACCCGGAGGAGCCCCTCTCTATGGGAGCGTACCGGCCGGTGGGAGGCTATTGGTGGTAGTAGACGGTCCCACAAGTATCCAGGTCCTGAGCCATGGAGTGCTTTAAAGGTGGTAACCAAGACCTTGAAAACCTTCCCTTCAAAAGTCCCTCAAGTCCCTCAAGTAAGCAGGCCCTCTGCCACGTGGGGCTTTAGATAGCAACCAGCAGCTTGAATTGGACCCGTAAGTACATTGGCAACTGGTGCAAGCTTGTAAACCAGAGGTTTTATATAGAAGTACTGAGACAGGTCTATCACTCTTCGTGCAACTGCGTTATGGACCATTGGAAACTTCTGTGTGATCTTCAAGGACAACTCCATGTACAGCACATTGCAGCAGTCAAGCTGTGAGAAATACCAATACAAAACTGCAGGTGCCGAGCTGTTTCACCCCTCCCCCCAATATAATACAGCACTATGACTCTCCTTAAGCAAAAGCAAATAATTAGAAAGAGAAATTCAAATAATACTTTCATAAAATTCCTAGATAACTAAATAAATACAATTAAGATTTTTGATTCAGCTTTGTCCAATCAATTTAACTTATATAAATCTATGAAAATATTTTCTAAAGTGTTTCTCTGTTTAAAACCCATTTTGCTTTTCATCTAAAAGATTATCTGTGATAAATGTTTACTAGGTAGTACAAAAAAAATGGTCGCATTTCTCATATGGATCCCATGTCTGGAATTTCATCGATGTCTAAATAGTATTCTAATTTCTTACTTCAGACTTCAGGTTGGCACTAATATATTGACTTAAAGGGATTTATAAGTAATATAGCTGTGTACAAACTTTCTGTCAAGAAAAAAAGAAAATTAGTTACACTTTGTATAACACTTGCACTCTTAAGAAATTCTTTAACAGTTCTGAATATGTAGCGGATCCTTTGTTTTTCTTATGACTCAGTTTAAAGGATCAAAAAGGCAACTTTTATAGCCCTGTCCTCAGCAAGACATTATGTCACAAAAATGGGAACGCCTTCCTGGAGTTTTCATGGCACCAAATGTGCCCTCATGAGCTGAAAGAGTACATAAAACCATCCCATATACTTTGTCACTATACCTGATTGCCTCCCCAACAGATGGCAGCATGGACAATAACTGTATTTGTAGGAAAGTTATGGGAGTACAACTAATCTGGAAGTATCTGTTTGGGGAAGTTGCTTACATTATAATTTTTTTCTTTGTTTAAACTTTTATCACCATTTTACCCACTGAAAGTTTAATCCAAAGAGAACTATTTGTAATTTTATAAACTGCTATATTTGTAGAGTAGTTTAGAAGTACATTTGATAAAAGCATTAACTAGTGCTTCATGAAACTAATTTTATTTTATGTATGCTTTAGTTAGTGTAATAGTGGATGAGACTTTTGAGGTTGCAGTCTGTTTCTACCCTTTATTCAAATGCCTTTATATAAACATATTGGCAAAGGAGATTTAAAAACCAAACTGAATAAAACGACAACCAGGAATTATAGTTTGAATTGTTGAAGATTAGATAATGCAAACTGAAAAGCTCGATTTTTAAAATTACTTCTGGAGGAAAAAAACCAACAATTTGTTTTAAGGACAAAGGAATAGATTCTAAAAGTTTTAGGTGCCGTTTTCACTTTTTCCTATAATTAGACAACCCGTGACTCCCATCCCAGCTCATAGTTTCATAGATATTTCCTTACCAGATTTCTCAATGTTTTCAACAATGACAGAGATTAAAATGTGCTGCCTTCATTGGCATATAGCCCATGTTGAACTGTATAACATAGCCAAGGATCAGTGCTACCAGGAAATGTTTTATGATGTTTTGTACTATGTCATAAAACGCTTTATGATCATTTTATGTCATAAAATGTTTAATACATTTTGCCAAATTTCAATTCCACAGAAATTATGACTTTTAAATTTTGGATGCATTCTGTAAGTTAGCCCATTTGAGGAACATTGGTTCAAAAATTGTTGCCCTACATTGTTGCCAGTTAAAGGAATGAGAGCTTTATTAGCTTATGGATAGGAAAGCATTTAGTGATTATGAATGCATATATACTTCAATTTGCTTTTGATTAGCATCAAAACTATTTTTTTCTGAATCTAAGACTGGAGAGGGACTGGAAGTCTTCTATTTTGGTGGTAATAGAACTTTCCTGGTGTATTTCACTTCTCCTCTTAGTTCAATCCCAAAGCAACCAACTTGTCCAGAAATCTTGCTGGATAGTTGGGTCATATGAAGGAGAGGGAAGTCATTTGCTTTCTAGATAACAGTTCCCAAAAGTTTCAAGTGGATGTTACCCAATATAGGGAAAGACTCTAGAACAAGCACTGCAGAGCAGAGATACACATCCCTCTTGTAGAATGTGTGGATCAGATAGTAAAAACTTCAGGGCTTTCCATCCCAGCCATGTAGCCTTGCTGATTCCCTTCCCCTGTGGTGAGTTATCAAAATGAAAGGCATAAAGTTGCTGCTGAAATTTCTTAGCATGGCTACCCCATAGACCTTCCAGAGGAAGAGAAAGAGGTGCATTTACATGGGATCCAGACTGTACAGAAGGAGGGGAGAGCATTCCCCTTTGAGCTTCACAATTTCCTGTCCTCAAATATTGTATGTATTTCTTCCCACTTAGTTTTTGCATTTATATACCTGTCATTTTGCCAAGGCATGCGAGGCAGATTAGTTTTTTTAAAAAAAAAAATAACAAAAAAAAATACAGAGTAAAAACAGCTGTTTTGTCAAGCCACTGGCAGCCTCTTTGAACACTGATGTGCTCATGAGTTTGGGCTTCTCTTCAGCCTGCCTTCTTAGGGTGAATAATTATTTTCTTTCTCTTTAAAGAAAGAGAGGATAGAAGCTACCCAGGTATTTTTGGAACTAAGTAGGTCAGAGGCAGAGTGCTTTTCTTTCTCTGGACTACCCAGGAAGAAGTGGTGAAATTTGGAAACCCCGGTAGTCTGCTTCAAGGCTTTGTAAGATATAGCTGTTAGTTAAAGTGAGGGTTTATTTTTCTGAGCTAATTATTAATAACATTATTGGCTGCATATATGACCCTGTTTGGCTAAGAGTCAAAGGAAGATTTTAACTATGTACCCATCATTCTTCTTTTTCCAGCTTTTTTGATTAGGCAATTTTTTCAGTATTATCTGAAAATGACTAATAATTCAAGTCTGTATGTATCTATTCAGTCCCAATGAGCTTTCTCCTACATTAAATAGACAGTTTAAGTATATACATATAGTTTAAATCAGAATTCCCAAAGTGGTCAATACTGACTACCAAGGATCAATAGGACTATCCAAGAGACCTTGTTGTTATTTGTAGTACTGTTAGTTAATGTAGTATTTATTAAATTAGTTTCATATAATAAATGTTTGGGTGTTCAATCTGAAACTTCATGAAGAAGTTGATGAGCTAAAGAGTTTGGGGACTTCTGTTTAAATAGTGGGCAAGGAAATCTAATGTTGGACCCAGGGGTGAAATGCTCCCAGTTCGGACCGGATCGCCCGATCTGGTAGCAATGGAGGCGGGTGGTTTGGAGAACCGGTAGCAAAAATCCCTGCACCCCCCATGCCCAGCTGAGCCACGCGATCATCAGAGGCTTTTTTTCTTTTAAATGGCTCTGACGATCCCAGCTGAGTTGCTTTATCGGCAGAGGGTTTTTTAAAAACCCTTTGACGATC